TAAATGGTATTTGTAATAAATATGAGATCGAATCTCTGTCTAAGATATGGAGGATGAAAATGTTGTCTAATTAAGTGACGTCATAAATAATGAGTGTTTTTAAAAACAACGGGGAGCTAAGAAATATTGTGTTAGAATTCTTGTGGTGACTATTGAGTATTTAATTCAATTGATTTTTTTCTTACTTTTTATGGTACATAAGGCAGGGAAGCATTCTGTACGCTACAAGACTCTGCTGCTTCATTTCTTTCAGCAAGCAATGCTCACTATCAGCTCTTTGCTTTGATGGAACATTACCCTGGAAGAAAAATTTCTATTGAATTTATACTATAACTAACGATCTTCTACCTGAAAACTTTCTGAGCTTTAGCCAGGGTCTGCCTTACATGTTGTGAATAGTTTTGGCTAATAGTTCTTACAACCGGCCGCCTGCCTGACATCAACCCTCTTTGGGAATGCATTAATCAGTGATGTCTAAATACTCTTAGAAAGTACATATGACTTGGAAAAATCACTTTGGTACTTGCTAGGGCCAAGATCGAATCCGCGCCCTCGTGCATGAGAGGCGGGCCTTTTAACCACTTTTAACTGACGATATTGTTTAGAAATTTAGTACATATAGCTACTATAATTTTTGCAAAATGTTTTGTACTACATTATAGATAAATTACCTCATGTAAATTTGGCATTCCCTGCATGCAACCAATAACAAACGTTTGATTCATAGGATTCTTCTGACTGCAGCATCTTTTCAAGGCCCAGATGGTCACCACTATGATAATCAGATCTCCTACTACGGTGACTGTTATTAATACAGCTGAAAATAAAACACATTCGATATAAGTTTTATGTTAAATTACATGACATTTGGCATAAAAAACCATTCTGATCTAAATGCTGGCGTTGATCAAGTTATTCCTTTATGGATAGGTAATATCAAATTCAAATTAACAATTAATAACAATTTATGTTAATATCGTCATATTTTTTAAAATAAGCAACACTTTTAAGAGATAGTGAATAGTAATAGTTCTGGATATATTGAACCCTGTGGTATACTTTATAGTTTAGTCGTTTCAGATTACTCAAGTATCATAAGTCTCTATTTACCTTTCAGATTGACTTGACAAGTTCGTCCCGCGTACCAATTGAAACATTCACATATCATCGCGTGCTCACGATCGAAGCAGCTACCATGATAGTTGCAGCCCGCATAGCCTATTGCGTCAGCTGAAAGTTTTTATTAAAAACTAGAAGACCTGGCGACCTTCGTATCGCCCTATAATCAAGAAATATCTATTACGTTTTTTTATTTATATTTTTGGAGTTTACCTGTAAGCCATAAGTCTCCGTGTTTTGAAGTGCGACAGAATGATTGACATATTAGTTAGTTGTCAAATCTAATGACAAAAAAACGTTTGTATGGGAAATAGAAAAAGGCTGTTTTTATGGTTTTCCCAGTAATGAATCAATTTTTTTCAGCTTTTATACCGTCCCTGAACCTCCACAAACATTTCAAGACTAAGATAAGATAAATCCGTTCAGCTGTTCTCGAGTTTTAGCGAGACTAAGGAACAGCAATCCATTTTTATATATATAGAAGAAGAAGATAGAAGATTACAATTTAAAACATAATCGTGTCATTATATGCACAATTTTTATTATCATTGGATTAATCTTAAAACGCTTTCAAAGTCAAATTATATATAAGAGTTATGTTTTGATGTCTAAAATACCCTATATATTTCGTGCGACAGAGTAGCAAATGAAATCGACTTACAAGAACATATCCTTCCAGGGTATAGAGGTGTTGACGCTAAGGTCTGCAAACCTTCTAAACAACTACAAGTGTAAGTTCCACGAAGGTTGAAACAGCGTGAGTGTTCGGAACAGTCATTGAACTGACTACTCGTGCATTCGTCGAAATCTGAAAAAATTCAAATGCTTCTTAGATTTTTATAGTATAAAAGTAACAGTGGCGTGCATGATAAAATACGAGAAGTAATCAGAAAATATTAATTTAAATTAAATATTGATAAAATTCGCGCAAAATGGTAGGGACAGCAGTCCGATCAGAACGAACTTCTATATTATACTTTATGAACCTCTCAACTACCTTTGAGCCACGAAAGTACAATAAAACGATTACGATCTGTTCACCATAGCTTTCTAAAAGTTGTTAAAATAAGGAATATCCAAAACAATAACATATATTCTTATTATTACCTTTGAAAATAAGAAACAGGGCAAACAAAATAACTGATTTGTGTGTACACAACCTGCTAACTAATTAAAACAATAACATTACCTTTCTTTTAGTTCAAACTCAACTGGTCACACACCTTGACTTTACTCTTATTTTAATTTTATTACCAAAAGGCCAATATTGAAAATCTACTCGTAACTAATTTCAATAAACTCATATCACCAGCACAGAGCTCACAGCTATAATTTTACACAATTCGTTAATAAATTAATCCACTGTTTACTAATTACAACTTATTCACTTGCGCTTAGAAAGACAAATAACAATATTCAAAAATAATAAAATGGCGAAAAAATATATGAACAGTTTACCGACCAATCAGACCGTCCCGTTTCATTTGACAATTAACGAACGAACGAAGTTTCGTTTTAACATTGATAGATGGCACTTGTTAACAAATCATAAATCAAATATCGTTTTAAATATCTGTTAACATTTGTAATTCGTAATGTACCTATGATTAAAAATATGTAAGTAAGAATTTAAAAATATGGGTTTAGTTGTTAATTCTTCAGATGCATAAATTTCTGTTCCACCAAGACTATAATTATTATTCCGTAGATATTTCTCTATAACTTCCTTCAGTCTGCTTTCATGAGCGCTATCGAAAAGCTAAAGAAAAATTCATTTAAAATAAGTTTAAAACAACATATTTCAAGTCTTTACTGAATGGTTACCTGAACGTAGAAATCATTGATAACTCCCTCATATGCACCGTCTTTTGTTCTCATCTCAATAGGATGGAATCCTGTTATGTGGACTCCGTGATAAACATCCCGTAAGTCTGATTGCATTATCATTCTATTTATTCCTTCATGAGTAGCCAATAGTAGAATTGTCCGATAGTATAGTAGAATTAGATAGTATATTAGATAGTATAGTATAGTAGAATAGTAGAATTGTCCGATAAATTCTTATGGAATTTCCTAATCTTACTGAGTACGTGTATGTTGCTATAATTGAGCACATTTAAAATATTATGTTGAAATAGTTAAAATATTAACTGGTTGTGTATTTTTAGTATAATAGAAAATAGTAATATCTTAGGTTTACACGGTCGATCTGGGAACATTCTAGCGAAACCTGGTCTACACACGCACTTCATAACACTATGGATCCTTTGGCATCTTTCATTTCTCTTAGCTCTACAATCTGGTTGACATTCTTTAGTCTTTACCATATCCTATATGAGAGAAAATTAATTCATTAAAACATAATCTTATAGCATAATAAGTTTCGCGAAAACTTTATTCGCGATTCATTCTGAAGGAATTTATATTTAATCTATACTAATATTATAAAGCTGAAGAGATTGTTTGTTTGTTTGAAAGTGCTAATCTCCGAAACTACTGGTTCGAATTGAATAATTCTTTTGTCTTGGATAGTCCAGTTATCGAGGAAGGCTGTAGGCTATATAACATTACGCTACAACCAATAGGAGCAAAGATATAGTGGTAAATATGTAAAAAACGGGAGAAATTATTTCATCTTTGAAGCCTTCCGTTGCGTGCGCCGTGAAAACGGTTCAAGATACACAAAAAATATATATGAAAGAATAATAGCTCTTTTAATGATCTAAAAAACAGTTAGCGACAATATATGTCTATGTTTTAAGATTAACTCACAAAAACCGTTTTTATGGTACCTAATTTGGTCGAAATAATATGTTTAAGTTGTATCAATATAATAATATTAATCTTTATTCAAATAAACAAATAAATATGTTGTTGGTTAAGAGTACTTCATTGTGAATAAAATTGTCTTTGACATAACTTAATGTCAACGAATAACTTTAAAGATTACAATGATAAATAACTCCGAAACAAAACCAACGCGGCTCACTCGCGCGGTCGGCTCCCTACTGTTGAATACGGTTGAATGCAGCGCTAATTTGTTTATGCGATATAATTATCACCGTAATATTACTTTTTATACACTGTTTCATTTTGTAGTTGTTTTCTATATACCTAGTAGGTACTTTATTTGTTTTAGGATAGTATTTAGTTACACAATAATAACACTTTTTGTTTTCATGTAGATTATTAATTTATAATTATGTGTTTTCTATAAGTATGTATAGTATTGTTTGTTTTAAAAATAGTATTTAGTAATTTGTAATCGGTTCAGTAGTTTCGGAGCCTATTCATAACAAATAAACAAACAAATCTTTCCTCTTTATTAATATAGACAATTCTGGGCCCACAATGTAAAGACATGAAAATAGTATTAATTAAAAGTTCAAAATTAAGAGTTTCTTCATTGAAAATTTTATAGGAATTGACAATCAGATAGCGGAGTTATTTGAGGTTCAGTAAAAGTGAGGTTATATTGCATTATCTTTAATAGTTAGATGAATACACTTAAAAGTATGTGAAAAATAATAATTTTATTTAGAAGAGAATACCTGATAAGTCATTTGTAAGAAATAACGTACATAATACATAGTAATAATAAATAATAATACATAATTTTGTAAGAAATTGCAGAATAAAAAATATATGACTTAAATAATCATCTATCTATTTATCATTGTATCACAAATCATCGGATATATAATAAAATTGTATAGTTAATTTTAATTATGTAGTTAAGTTTAATGTATAACTTCAATTGTACGAGTATTGTTGATTTGACTTTGTTATTTTATTGAATTGTTAATTTTCATCTGTAAAACACTTAATATGAATTTATAATTACAATTGCATGGTCAATTTAATTTCTAATTTTAATTTACCTATTTATTTACTCTTAGAGACATCATATCATAAATATGTCTCTCAGTAAATGTCTGAACATAATTGGATGTCAAACTATCCAGTAAATCCCATGCTTCGATAACCAAATGTTGAGCACAAAGACGGTTATTTTGAGGGATGTAATATTTATATTCATTAAATAACATTTTATGAGTAGTAAGTTGTACTCTGTATCTTTCTGTTCCTCGGCATCCTTCAATGAAGCACCTTCTTTCAGTTTCAATAGCTCTCATGTACTCAGACAAAATAATAGAAGGTACTGCTTGGTTGCTGCTAACTCCTGCATTTGGAGACACATCAGGAAGATCTTCTTCATGTGGTTCAACTATTTGAGGACTGTCTTGTCCCAATGATGTTGACGGGCCCCAGGTCATTTGGACAGACGCTCTGTCTGCAGCCATCCAACATTTGTGACATATATGACTCGTCGCTTCAATCTGCAACAGGAACACATCATTAATAATTTGAATAAAATATATTATAACAGATATAAGCAAGCACTATTCATATATAGTATTTACCCAAGTACTAGCAGTTCACAATATACATATCAACAGTTAACAATCTCACAATATGTATTGTAATCTAACAGTTTTTACAATTTTATGGTGACAATGGTTGTAAATATAATAAACATGTACATCTTAGTTTTTTGATACTAATAAGTAGTGAGTTATATAATTTCTACTGTCATGCATGAATGTATGTTAATAATATAATTGAGCAGATTACGAGAGATTATTATTTACTTACATCACAAGGAATAATCCATTCTTGTATCACATTATAAATTCTTGATTCACGAATAGTGTTCTTATGAAGTGCATGACTGACTTGTGCAGCTAGAGAGCGTCCGCAGCGGAGACAAATGTTACCATGTCCTAGTAGTCTTCCCTGGGTAAGAGCCTGTGGACTTTGAGCCAAATCCCAACATGCTTGACAAACACCGTCACTACTGCTCACCTAACAAATGGAATAAAATATTTCATACATTTTAGTATTCGGTTACCTTAATGATATCCTATAATTTCTCATTATAAAGTACAATGATATACTAAATTATTTGCTTTAAATGTAAATAACCTGCTCAAGTCTTGTAGCTGTATTTTAATTCTACCAAGGTAGATTAAAAATACATTAAGTAAGTGCTTTAACTTTTAGCTATTTACTTAGGAGAGTTTATATTTACTTACAGACTGAGGTGCAAGCCATTGCCGAATCACAGATAGAGTTATTTCATCGTTTAATGGTCGTCGACGTAATGTATTGCAGGTACTAGTTGCTATCCCGCAATTCACGCAGCGATCCATCGTTTCAGTAATATCCAATCCACAAGACGGCGAAATAATCCAAATGAACAATTTCAAGTCAAACGTGCAGGCGATCGTCGGTGTCCAATGTGAAAGCAAGGGTCGTAAAACGTAGGCGGGTTCGGAATCTGTAAAAAACAAAGCAGTGGTCGTTGAGAACGTAAAATGAACGGGAAAGCACTTGAAACTTATCAAAAAAAAAAACGAAATGACGAAACAAGTGAGAATCAGATAACAATGCATCTGGCATGGTAATTATTAAGTGTCAATCTTATGTTGCCCTAGACTATATACGGAATGATTTCGATCGATATGGAATCGATAATGGAAAAGGATATTTTAAAATAATATTAAATAGTACTATTATATTAATACACGTTATTAAAAGCTATTTTTATTGAATTGTAAACATATATGGTGTAGTTTAAATTAAGTTACTGTAAGTTTAAAACCAGGAGTGAAGTTTTTATTTTGTAGTTAAATAATCGAATAATCATTTTTTATTTAATTAATCGTTAATCGATTACTTCATAAAAATATTTATTTGCATATTTCTCCGCTTGTAGATTGAGAATTTATGTAGATTTTTGGTATTTCACACAAAAAAAATAAACTAATTTTTTAAGTCAATTTTGAACTCATTACAATTTGGGCCCAAAAGTTTCCATATTCTCCTTTTGCGGCTATTCGGAAGTACAAGGTCAAGATACACGTGCGGCGTCTTCTTTTGCGCATACAAACAATCGTCGCCGCCGCACCGAACGCACTATATTTGACACTATTTGATTGCCGACAAAAATGCCTGAATAAGCAAATTAAAAAATAATACATTAAATATAGTAAGCATCAAACTTAATTGAAGTATCGAAATAATAAAAACGAAAAATCAACTACATATATACAATATATGTGTAATCAAATCAAATGCGTAATCAAATTATATAGAACGTTACCGAGCAAATGTTTATTTTCTTCAAATGTTTAAATCTAGCTTTTAATAATCATTAATAAGGTTATCTATCTTTTTAATTATTATTGAAGCTACAAAGGAGCGAAATGCGGAACACTAAAATGTTATGCGTCTGTACGCCCGCACGCGGCATTGTTTGATTTGGGGCGGTATCCTTTTACTTAGAGCCGACAAGTGCCAAAGCGGCACAATACAGGGCGACATTATGTAAACAAATAGATTACATATGTATAAAATGAAGTATCTGTTTTAATTTCAAATACATTAGAAACTCGACTAAGCGAACTAATCGTTGTCGATAGGTGTTGATCTTTGTTGTGTGATTTGTATTTGTATGTTTTAATTATTTTTTATCAATTTAATTATTTCAACGTTAGACTCCGCCCCATTGCGGGGCGACGTCCCCCGCGGGCCCTGCGGCCGGCCAGCCGTCGCTTCACAACTATAATAATTTTAATTACATAATTGTTTAGTACACTCCAGCTTTCGGGTCGGACTGCACGTCGCTCGTATGCTCATTATTACATAATAGGGGAGAGTTGGTTACATCGTACTAGCATTTAAATCGTACCACTTCTTAATTTCCCATTTAATGAATATTTTTTTCTACATTGACAACGCCAAATCGTGGCCCTGTACCATCCCTCTTCACTCACTAGTTGAAATCGACGTGAGTTAACAACTGTGCACGTAATGAAAGAAAAACGTTTTTTGTAGGAATTAATATAAATATTGTCGTACATTCTTAAGGAGATAACTCGTAATCAAGGTAAGCTATAGTTATAGGTACAGTTTTTTTTTTTTTATTATTCCACAATTGTATACTAGATTATTGGGGGTTTTTGTTGCGTGTCTAAGTTTTGAGTTTATGCCGGATATTTGCTTTTGTTTTAGAAATGCCCTAGTTGGTTTAATCGTACCACTTGCAGTTGGTTAAATTGTACTGGTACGATTTACCCGACTACCAACCGCAAGTACCTATAGTAATAGTAAGTACTACCCAAGGCCAAAAACAAAAGTTATAAGAGGAAACGATCTCATTCCATCACCAGTAGCGATGATTCAGGAGAGACACTTGTTGTAGAATTAGATGATGATGATGACAGCGATGATTATCTTGAAAATATATGTGGAAAGTGCAATTGTTCTTACTACTATAAGAAGGGTCCAAAAGTTGATTGGATTCAATGCGTTCGCTGTAAACGATGGCTACATGAGACGTGTACCCACTTCGAATCCAGACATTTGTCATGATTGTTTCCATCAAGAAATATGCACAATAATTATATTACAAATAACATTAATGTTAACTGTTACTTTATTATTATAGTTAACTGTTTTTTTCGTCTCATTTTTATTAGTTATGTTGATTGATCTCATATCATAGTAGAATCATGTTGTTTTACTGAGAAAGCTTATAGTTCCTTTAAAGAGTTAAAAATTATGTTTCTATTACCTAAAAGATATAAATAATGTTGTTTTATTGCTTACTTAAGAGTTAAAAATAAATAATTTGATTGAGAATTTTAATGTCTTTCATTCAGTAGTACGACTTAAACACCCATGGTACGATTTAAAGACTTAGTGGTACGATTAAAACGACTAGTCGGCTAAATCGTACCGATGGCAAGCCTCTACAAAAAAGCATTTTTAACAATGTTAGAATAATCGCAAGGATCTGTTCTCTTCTTCTTAGGAAGCTAAAATATGAAACTTTATTTTACATATGTATTAATTATTATAAGACGTCTTATAGTCGAAATATTTGAGTTAAAGTGAAAAGTGGTACGATATATCCGACTCTCCCCTATGTACCTGTATCTTCAACGTATAGTAAAGTCTCTTATCGTTTGCTTATAAACTTAAAGTAGCGATACTAGGCTGGTGACCCCGACGTGATATGAACAAATAGGCATTCGGATAATCGAATGTATGAAAATAAGCGAGTTTTATACATATATGATATATAGTACATACATAATGTTATATGTTTATTGAAAAAAGTAACAAATGCATATCAACGATAATAATCAATGTTTGTTAATAAATAATTGAAGGATACATTTTCTTAGATTAATGTAGTGTACATTAATTAACTAACAACAAAACAAAACAAACATTATGGCGGGCGTATAATGCAACAAAATTACGTAGTTACGTTTCGTTTTACTTTATTCGCGTTAAAAAAATATTTTTTAACATTAATTAAATTGTAACCGCAATAAAATTTCTTAAATTTTATCTGATATACATATATTAGAAGAAATTGTAAATATATGAGGTTGAAGCAGTGATTATAGTGCTATATGTATGATAGCCAAAACAAGATGTCTTTTTTTAAATCTGTGTGTAATGAAACGTTGTGTGTAGTTAACATTCTTAACCTGTTGTAGTTATACTACTACTATGTATAATACGACTCAAAATATACACAACCACTTACGAAGAGCCTGTATCGCTATTATATACCTTCCTCAATCTGAAAATTGCTTAATAAACACTCCAAATTTAAGAAACCCGCGATTTCTTTACGTCAGTATTAAAATATAGGGTTGTTAGTTTTGTAATAATATTATAGTGGTAATTAAAGATTTTTAAACTTTTATTTTAAGCTAATTTTCATATAAATTATGTATTGACCACCTAAATAAAATTTTTGGACTCTATATGAAATTAATTTTTTTGTATTTAAACAGGAAATTGTGTTATAATAAATATAGTTGTAATTACAATAATATTTATTTTTATTAAGAGTGTATCAACCCTAATTAAGATGTCTCATGGTTTGTTTACTAAATTCCAGATCGAATGTGTCTGGAGTATAGTTGTTATATTACGCGTAGGGTACGCAGTGCTTATTTGCATGTAGGTATGGTGTGCACGCCACTGTCATATAAAGTGAGGATCTAACATGCAATCTCTTTCTAGCCAGATAATATCCTTTAAAACACAGCCAAGTTAATGTCACTACTTTGTTTTCTATATGCTTAAGTAAATTGAAAAACCATATTTTAGTATATGTAGTTCATATCAATAGAAATTTTCAATCCTGTACACAAATGTGATGAGCTGATATTAATAAACACTTGCCCCTGCCACAAGTGATGTGAGTACTCTTCCAAGATATTTTAATAGTTTAAGAAAAAGAGTTCATTGTATAATTATTATGTACAATACAAAATTTTCAAAGGCAAATTTTGATGAGTAAAAAATGATTGTGTCAAATATTATATAAAAGATTCGTGCTCAAAATTATTTTATAAAATAAACATATAGGTATACACTGTTGTTTAACGGTGAAAATATTGTTAAAAACAGTGGTGGGTTCATTGAGATGTAATTATTATCAGGACTGACATTCCATTGTCCGTAAGAACGGAGTAATCGTGGTCAGTTGTTTTGTTTATATTATTGCCAATTTATGCCAAGAGAGACTTAACTCCCGCTCCCACTTCTACCGTTTACTAGTTTAATCAGTAAACAATCGGTTACTGAGCTCCTAGTAGGTACTTATTGCACTTCATGGCACGATCTTTGGGAATTTCGGTTTCCAAAGGAAACGTAAGCTCTAGTAGCTCAACGTGTTGTAAAATTCGTGAATTGACCCTTTTATTACAAATATTTGCTAAAACGTAAAACAAAGT